TATAAAAAAATAAAATAAATTTACAAAGCAGTATGCTCTTTCCAGACAAACAAAATTCCCTGCCAGTGAGTCAATTCCAACTCATGGAGACCCCATAGGACAGGGTAGAGCGGCCCCGTGGGCTTCTGGGATTGTAATTCGTCATGGGAGAAGAAAACCTGCAGAGCTGCTGGTGGTTTTGAACCGCTAACTTTGGGGCTAGTGACCACTGAAAACCCTTCAGACCACAGTTATACTTTCACACCTGGGGCCATGATGAGTCCGATTGGACTCAATGGCACATGGTTTACCAGAATAGAGTCCCTTTTATGAGCAACTCTGATCTGAGGTACTTTCTGCCCCTTCAGAAATGAGTTCTTCACACAGAGCCTCCCTCAGAGAGTCTACCCCCAAATCAAGTCCTTTTGTAGTTCCTTCTGTCCCAAACCAAACTCAATCAAACTGGCTGCCATTGAGTTAATTCTGACTCATAAAACCCAAACCAAATGCATTGCCATAGAGTTGATGCCAACTCATCGTGACCCTATAGGTCAGGGAAGGATTGTCTGCGGGTTTCTGAACCTGTAACTCTTAACATTAGCAGAAAGCCTCACCTTTCACCCAAACTACCAAACTGGTAGTTTCGAACTGCTGACCTTCTGATTAACAGCCCATCTCATAAACCACAGCCCCACCTAGGCACCTATACTAACTTATAGTGGCCCTAAAAAGCAAAATAGAACTGCCCTTTTATTTCCTAAGGTTGTGACTCTTTACAGGAGCAATAAGCCTCAAGTTCCTCCTATGGAGCAACTGGTAGGCTTGGGAAGTTAACAGTGTAATAAAGACTTGGATGCTTTTGTGCTGGCCTCGTGGTAAGCAGGTCAACCCAGAATTCACTGTCTCACCACTGTATGACCTTTCTCTAGTCTAGCCACTGTCTAAATGCCTTACATAAGAAAGGGAGTCAAGGAGAAGAGAGTGAGAGAACAATCACTCCCTGAACCCTTAAGGTGAATCAGGCATTATGTTAAATATATTCGCCTATGATCCTTATAACAACCTTTGAAATAGGTACAGTTATTATACTGATTTTACAAACGAAGAAATAAAATCTTAAATGATTAAAGTGTTTGCCTAAGGTCAGACATTGTTGGTGATAAAATTCTAAAGGAGGGCTTCTGAACCCCAGATTCCAAGCTTACAGAGACAGTAAAGTTGCGTGGCTGCTTAAATGGCCCCATTCCTCTCCTACTTGATCTACTTGGGAAACCTGGTGAACCCAATCCCAAGAACAGTACAACGTTACACAGAGTTTCTATTTTAAGAAACCTTCCAGAGAGAACTCTTTCACTTTTTCTGGCATTTTTTTCAGTGCCAATATTCTTAATTTACAGAGTAAGTCTTCCAAAGACAGAATTCATTCTTGTCGTAAATCCTCTTCCTTTCTGTGTGCTTTCGATAGATGTGTGCTCTGTGGGATGATGGCCTCGCAAAGGAAGTTCACCACTGATGTCTTTTAGCCACTGCGCTCAAACAAGAAGCACCCACATGGGTAGTTATTGAGCATCTGCAAACATCAAAGTAGTTCTACCAACCCTGGACCAGTATCAGTTTCAGCACCATGTAGATGATTCCTACTGAGGACTACACCGTGTATGTTTGTTTCGTAGGGTGCTCTATAGCTGATTTATTAGAAGTAGATCATTAGGCTTTTCTTCCAAAACACCTCTGAGTGGACTTGAACTATCAACCTTTTGTTTAGTAGCCCAGTGCTAAGTAAATTAAGCTTTTGTACCATTCAAGGGACTCCAAGATCATTCTAGGCACCAAGTGTGCCCCAGTGAACTATACAGACAAACCCTGCTCTCCTGCAGCATTGCTCTTCTGGTAGAAAACTTGTTCTTCAATCTGGAGGAGAAAACAATGGGACCGACAGTTCCGGGGGGACATGGGTGAGGAGGAGGTGGGGGGAAAGGAAGTGGTGTTAACAAACCCAGGGACAAGGGAACAACACGTGATCCAAATTGGTGGTGAGGTGGGTGTGGGAGGCCTGG